AGTACCTGTGTTGGTAGCTATAGTGTCTGGGTTGGATCTGTGTTGGTAGCTATAGGATCTGTGTTGGTAGCTATAGGATCTGTGTTGGTAGCTATAGGATCTGTGTTGGTAGCTATAGGATCTGTGTTGGTGCTATAGCTATGGTACCTGTGTTGGTAGCTATAGGATCTGTGTTGGTAGCTATAGGATCTGTGTTGGGTAGCTAGCTATAGGATCTGTGTTGGTAGCTATAGGATCTGTGTTGGTAGCTATAGGATCTGTGTTGGTAGCTATAGGATCTGTGTTGGTAGCTATAGGATCTGTGTTGGTAGCTATAGGATCTGTGTTGGTAGCTATAGGATCTGTGTTGGTAGCTATAGGATCTGTGTTGGTAGCTATAGGATCTGTGTTGGTAGCTATAGGATCTGTGTTGGTAGCTATAGGATCTGTGTTGGTAGCTATAGTACCTGTGTTGGTAGCTATAGTACCTGTGTTGGTAGCGGTTTTGCCTGCATTCTAATGATATGACCAAGCCATTTTATATTTTTGCTAAAGGTAAGTCAAAAAACTACTCACCAACATTGATTCTACCCCTCAAGTCTGGTGACACACTAGATACCACTGCTCTGGTGACTGCGTTATTTGCCTCCACACCCCCAATCACCTTCAGGCCAGACTGATTTTCTGTTTATGTTTTAGAGTGGGAAAATAGAAAAATATCTGAGCTGTCCACATGCACACAAAAATGCACGATGGGTACAATGAGTAGAGACATGTCAATATATAAATGGGTATGTAAAAATGTTTCTTTACATCTGTGTATCTCAGCAATAGCAGAATTTGGACAATCAAACTCTCGAGATGAGCTGGAATTTAGTTCAAAGCTCCCTAGCAGTTTTTCACTCTGTGAGTATTTGCTTGGGGTCTGTTGACAAAACATGACTGAAAAACCAATGGAGCAAACCTTTTAAACATATGCTAATCACCACCAGTAGTGATTGCAGTAATAATGGTAGTACTAAAAGAAGTAGTAGTAACATTGGTAGCAGTGATAGTGGTAACAGCAGTAGTTGTAGCAGTAGCAGTAGTGGTAGCAGTGGTAGTAGTTTTTAGTAGTAGCAGTAGTAATGGTAGCAGTAGTAGTGTGTAGTAGCAGTTGTAGCAGTAGAAAATGTTTTCAGAAGTCGGAAGAATTAATAAAGAAATCCTTGAAAGACGCAATAAAGCCAATCAAGTTTTAGGCCAAATGCACCAATTTTGAAATGCAAGCAACGAATATGAACACTAAATAGAACACTGTTCAACACAATATTCTTACCAAAACTATGCTATCAATGTCAAACATGGACCCTGTCTTCAACAGACAGAAGGAAAATGGTCATGATACATATGTTTACATACTATCCTAGGTGTAACGAGGAAAGACCGACTTTAGAATGATGATATCAGGAGGAAAGACCGTACAGAACCAATAAGAAAACAGTTGAAAAAAAAAAAAGCAAAGGACCCTTTTCCACGTCTTTAGGCGCATTGGGCATATAGGGCTAGCCCTATATTCTAATCGGCACAAGATGGGTGATGTGGTCAGCATCATGTCGACCGCCTTTATTTCCCTGACTGCACCAGGTACCCACTCAAGACTGGATCGACCTGGGAGCCAAGGTAATTTTTTTTTTAAGTCTGGCTCCGCCAGGGAGGGAACCCACGACCTTCCGATCCATGGTGAGCCTCTAGCAGCTCTGCTATGGCAACTCCCTGCAGAACCAATACTCAACTGTATAAGCAGACAACAAATTAAATGGTCTGGCCATGTAGCAAGACTGGCATCAGACAGAGCACCAAAGAGGACAGTGTTACACAGATACAGCGGTAATACAGCTAGAGGTCGGCCATGCAGAAGATGGACCGCAGAAATTTCAGAGACACTGAAAAATACTTTATGGGAAGCGAACAGAAGGACCCATTTCTCTTCCTGCCAAGAGGCATTTCAGGTGTAGAGAAAAGAAAAAGAAGAAGAATACGCTAGACTCATACTGTTTTACACCGACCAGAACTTGACGAGTGATGTAGTCAATATTTTGTCAGCCATCTTTACTTTGCAGGACATATCTGGTACCAATTTTAGACTAGGTCAGCCTAAGAGCTAAGGTCAGTCATAATATCAAATCCAACTTGGTGTGAATGTTGTAGTAGCAGTGAAGCAGGAAAAACCATTTTTCGAAACCAGTGCTGCACCATCATCATCAGCCAGCAGGCTTTTACAGAATGTTGCTCTCATTACAGCTCGCCTGGAAGTCTCTTTTTTCTCTTGTGAATTCTCCAGCACTTTGTGCTTTCATAGCCGATGCATCTTCAATGTTTTGTATCCACTTTCGCAGAGGTCCGCCTCTGCCTCGTTTTCACAACTGTACCCTCCATCACCGTTCTCTCCATGTCACCATGATGCTTAAATGACCCCAAAATACCCCAGCTTTCAGGACTAGGGCTGCCAATGCTGGGTTCCCCCCCCCCCCCAGATCTGGGTCTAACCTTAGGGAAATCTGGGGTTTTTTAAAAATATCCTTATATAAAAGTGGTAAATGTTTCGTTTCGTAACTATAAATTTTATACATTTTAACAATCTGGGTTTTTTTTTTTTTTTTGTTCTTTGTCTATGTATTGCTTGGGTTTTTGTTTAGCGAAGCTGGGTTTTTCAAAAAAAAACCTATTGGCAGCCCTGTTCAGGACAGAATGCTGTTTATAAGCCAATTCTCCAAAATGTTCAGATCATGTAGGATGTCAGTGTTTTTTTTTTCTTCTTGGTGGACAGCATTCTAAGAATTTTCCTGTAGTTCAAATGATCAGGCAAACAAAAAACATTTGTTTTGGCGTCATATGCCCGACATGTCACTGACACAGATCTTTTAATTTACTCTCTTTAACCCCCGTGTGGGTTCCGGGGCCCCATTGTGGGGAAAACAAGAATAGACCCACTGCCTCCCTAATAGCATGTCGTAAGAGTCGACTAATTGGGGAGGTTCCTTTGAAGTCGGAGTGCATCTGCTGGGGAGGCAAGGAACTAACAGTCTGTATTCAAGAGAATGAGATCTGTAAAACTGATGCACACGCAACACTCAGGTTCTGGAGCAGGACTGCAGTTCAGTAGTGGACGAGCAACCAGAACTTTCCGCCATAGTGTACAGCTGGTGAACGCGAAGAAGAAGAAGAAGACTCTCTTTAAAATATTCAAAAGAAAACAAACCTTTTGACTGAGTGTTGAATGAAATAAGGCAGGCGTAAGGGAAACCACTCTGGATCCACTTGTGAAGAGACTTTTCTCCTGTAGATTGTGGCGAGTGCTTATCTTCACTTTTTGCTGATAATGTCTGCAGCATGACAGAAATAATTTGTAAATAAAATTACATGTCAACGATATTAGCAGGAATATAAAAATAAGCCAATTAATTACAATAAATGACAGTGGTAGAAACATATTCTGTAAAAATAAAATAAAGTATACATCAGCTTAAATAAAAATTAGAATAAAGAATAATTTAAAAAACAATATGTCAGATGAAAACATCTACTAGATATTTCAATGTTGACAAACTTGATGGGCAGTAATTTTGTTTTGTTTTGTTTTTTAAGTGCTTTACAAGCCAGGCCTATATGTTTTCAGTACTACTCTGTATTAAGTACAGGAACTTTTTTTAAAGACACTCTGCAGTAAGTTAAAAAGTTAATTGTGTATCCTTTACAGGATGTTGCAGAACCAACCCCAGCATTTTTTTTTCTCGCTGTTGTGGTTTTTCTAGTCAAGTTTACATTTATTAGTTTGTCATTGCTTTCTGGACGGTCGGCTTCTCGATACCACTGTTGAAACCAACTCAAGGCGCAAGGCCTGAAGCTGGGATTGAACCCGGCACTCCCGCATTACGATGCGCATTCGCAATGCTAAAGCCGCAGATGGTGTAGTGAGTACTGGCACCTTTTCTTATAGAAAAAAGTCCTGGTCACAATGAAATTACCCTTTCATCTTTAACTCTTTGAACTCCACAATTTCATAGCTGATGCATGATAGAAGCAATCAAGATGACAAACAAAGCATTAGTTTACTACATCCACTGGGTCTAAATGCACAAAGCATTGTGGGTGACTTGTTGAGCTGATTTAGTTTGCCTGACTTAACATGAGATGTACAAATATACAAAACACATTGACTGGTGCACATGAGTAAAATCCTGTAAAAACATTGTGGTGTTTGTAACTGAAAGAGTTAACAACTTTTACGTACATTATGATTTACACTTCAATAACTATGTATGAAAAATAGGCAATAGCCTAACCTTGACTTCCTGACCCATGGGTGAATGTGTCCTAGGTGATTCATTTGATTTGTCAATGACCAGTTGAGACGAGCTCAAGAATGATTTGGACTTCTCGCTTAATCTGCTTTCACTTGTGGAAGAGACACTGACACAGCTACTGTGAAGACTGACTGCATCTTGACGGACAATTCTGTTCAAGAAGAATTACAATATTGTTCTCCGATAGATATTTAAAAATTTTTTTTAATTAAATCCAATAGTAAAGAAAAAAGAGGAGAAAGACATAAAGCACAAGGTAGACTAAAAATAAGAATGGAAGAATAACATCAGAGAAATTCTACATCAGCAGAATGTGTCTGTGGTCAAGGCAGCCAGAAATACAAAAAGCAGAACCTTATATATCCCTTAACACCCGAACGTAAAAGAGGGAGTGAAGAACAAGAAAGAAACAAATCAGTGCTGCTTAGATAAATGGGTGGAGACGGGAATAAGTCATTTCAGCAAGCAAGGTGGAGTAAGTAACATAACTGAACAAACAAGCATTATAAATAGTTACCAGAGCTAGTCCAAATATTAATTTTAATGACAGAAATAACGAAAGTATTTAAACAATCACATGGAGCTTGAATTCATATTGAAACACGTGCTGGATGACTGTTATATAAATTGAATTAGGCTTATTTAAGTGAGCTAAAAACCTGGCCAACTTGGGGTCAGGAAGTGATAAAACAGAGGGGAGTGTTCAGTTTGCCCTTTAGGCCCCTGGTGTTCGGACGAGAAACATGTAGTTCTGATTTGTCCGTTGCGTTTAATGGTTTTACGCAATGTGGGTTGAGGTGTGTAGGCAGAAAGATAGGTTCCATCTGTTGTAGGGTATTTTCTAACACGTTGTGAATTGTAATGCATTATTATTTGTGAAGACCTTAGATGATGTTCAGTGAAATAAATAGATGTGAATGTGATAATTATTGTTCCAGTTGCTTTGCTTCAGATTAGGGCTTGTGGTTAGTGTGTGTAGTTTATTTATTTGTTGCCTGGCTTATTAGACTTTACACAGAAGATCTCATGTCTGGACTAGAATATTCCTGTTTCTAGTCCCCACCTAACGAACTATTTTCCTTTATTGTTTTCTTGGTACTTAGGGCTTCTCCGTCCTAGTACAATATACTAATGGCAGCCTAACGACTTAGCCATTCTTAATCTGCTTCTTTCTACTTTGTAAGCTCGGATGGAAAGTTCTGGTGATTTATCCACTCAAACTTTGGTCTTGTGCCATGGCCTGAGTTTTGCATGTACATTCATTTTACTGTCTTATTTGTGTGCAGCTGTGCATGCCGACTTTGAAGTAAGCTCCCAGTTAGTCAATTCTTATGACACGCTTGTTGGGAAGGCAGTGGGTCGATTCCTGTTTCCCCCCACAGTTGAGGTTTTGAGGCTTTGAACAACGGATCAACATCATTGCACATGGGTAGTAACCAAGTCTGAGTTCGAATAAGCTCAGCACAGTGCATAGGCTCTGTAGCAACGGCAAGGATACTGAAATACTCTGGGTAGATTTTTAACTCCAAATTTTGCCCGGGCAGCGCCGTTAGGCTACTTTTTTCGATTTCCAACTGCCAAGGGATTTTTTACGTGCGCAACAATGCACACGGGCGTCTGATCTCACTACCCAGAGACCAGGGGGAATTACTAAAAGTCCAAGTCCACGTAAAAAAATCCCAGCCCTTAATGGGGATTGAACCACAATTCCCCCATAATGATGCCAGGGACCCAACACGGGACAAATGTTTAATCTAAGCTCAGAAGTAAGTGAAGACCCATTTCACATCAGAGGCACACTGGGTATAAAATGCTAGACTTATATTTTTTATAAGAAGCATTAAACTCAACACAAAATGTGACTGGGAAGCTATGTTTTTTTACTGCTGCCCCAACTGCATGTTATTGTGTGTAAAAAGGTGAAAGGTAAAGTCAGGAGATGTGAACCAGCATCACTGCACACGGTTATATACCATAAGTGCTCTGCCACCAGTACGGACAGCTGATAAGAAACTGTCCGCCTGTGTTGCCGTCCGCATGAAACTCCATAGCTACAGCGACGTTCCTCCGTTTACTCCAGTGTTAACTCTGGTACCCATTTCCTAAAGGCTGGGTTAACCCTGGGGAACTGTCCGATTTTGAACACTGGCTGTGGGCTGCAACGTTTCGCAGCTGGATTTGAAAGCAAATCTCCTATCAACTGCGCTAATGCAGCCCCTCTGTTGAGTGTGCTTAAAAAGTTGGGTGACAGATTACGTTCACAATGGTATGTACTTTGGATTTGCAATGCTGGCTTTTGTGATTGACCGCTTGGATCAAAAGTGAGGTATAATTTCGGTGTTGGACCATTTGTGTTGGCATATCTGGCAGCTACCTTATGCATTTATACTATGCGTATGCAAGCTTCAAGATTTTGCTAGGACTGACAAGTTGTTCACTAGTTTTCAAATGGGACAGAGAAGGACACTTTTTTTGTGACGTCCACTGGCATAGTAATGGGGTGAGCCGTCTGCAGTGATATAGGAACCTCGACCAATCACTAGAAAGCCTAACAGAGGGAACAGAAAAGACCCACACAAATACAACTAAATGTTTTAACTGAGTACTAAATACAAAACCAAACTGCGAACCGGAAACTCAGCACAACAAAGCTTGTAAAGAAGCAATGTCAACTTCAAGGTGTCATTAACTAACTGGCTTTTGATAAGTGAGATCGGCAATACCACACGAGGTGCCTTTTCTTCCCATAATTTTACCTAGTACCCATTTTCGGCTGGGTCAACTTGGGAGCCATTGAAAACATTCCAACAAATAAAAAAACCTTCAGGTGCTAGCCGCTTTGCCACACTGGCTTTCAGTGAATTATAAGTATTTTAAACTCATTGCGAGAAGCCATCTTTCTTCTTATGATACACAACAAAGCACTTACTTCAAGGAGGATGAGAGAGTATAAGATGGTGAGACGGGAAAGTCATCTGACATGCTGCTGTCCCGAAAGGAAGAAAAGATGCTGCTTTCTGTGTCAGTACTTTCAGAGGTGTCCACAGTGTTTTCTTGAATCACTGGAGGCTTCCGTACACCTGGGCGACATGGCAATTGGGTATGTTAACTTTGCTATTCAGCTGCTTGGGAATCATAAGAAAGGTTTGAGTTTTACCTCATATCTGTGCCAGCCCCTAAAGGTTCACAGTAGATGTCATGTTTTTAAACATTATGTCATGTTTGTAAACACTGTTTGAAAAAGGCCGCCCCATCGAAACGTTACATTGTGTTATTTTGTGCCCGTTTTTCTGCTTCCCCATTTTGTTAAGCTTTTTAGTCAAATTTCTCTGGAATTCCTAGTTTACCTCAGCTTTCTTATATGTAAATCACTAGATAGGGGCATTTGTTATAAATTATTACCAGGAGAGGAGAAAGTCGGAGGGGTTAACTGAATATCTTGATGTTCTTTGAATAACTAATCTTGATATCCAACTATCCGTTTTCTACTCCTATTGATAAAATTACAGCTGCCTTCAATTACTACAAGGCCACTTTTGCTGTTTTCTTGGTTATTCAGGACTTTGGGATCAGCAAAGCTCAGATATTAGTCCAGTTTCTCATGTGAATGTGCAGGGTCAGGATTCAAACCCACACACTCACTACATAAGTGTATATTCACCCAGGGTTGGCGACAGTCTGTAAACATTATGCCATGTCTGTAAACACATTATGCCATGTTTGTAAACACTGTGCCATGTTTGTAAACACTGTGTCATGTCTGTAAACACTGTGCCATGTTTGTAAACACTGTGTCATGTCTGTTAACACTGTGCCATATTTGAAAACACTGTGCTATATCTGTAAACACTGTGCCATGTTTGAAAACACTGTGTTATGTCTGTAAACACTGTGTCATATCTGTAAACACTGTGCCATGTCTGAAAACACTGTGCCATGTCTGTAAACACTGTGCCATGTTTGAAAACACTGTGCCATGTCTGTAAACACTGTGCCATGTCTGTAAACACTGTGCCATGTATGTAAATACTGTGTCATGTCTGTAAACACTGTGCCATGTCTGTAAACACTGTGTCATGTCTGTAAACACTGTGCCATGTCTGAAAACACTGTGCCATGTCTGTAAACACTGTGCTATGTCTGTAAACACTGTGCCATGTCTGTAAACACTTTGTCATGTCTGTAAACACTGTGCCATGTCTGTAAACACTCTCATGTCTGAAAACACTGTGCCATGTCAGTGAACACTGTGCTATGTCTGTAAACACTGTGCCATGTCTGTAAACACTGTGTCATGTCTGTAAACACTGTGCCATGTCTGAAAACACTGTGTCATGTCTGTAAACACTGTGCTATGTCTGTAAACACTGCGCCATGTCTGTAAACACTGTGTCATGTCTGTAAACACTGTGTCATGTCTGTAAACACTGTGCCATGTCTGTAAACACTCTCATGTCTGAAAACACTGTGCCATGTCAGTGAACACTGCGCCATGTCTGTAAACACTGTGTCATGTCTGTAAACACTGTGCTATGTTTGAAAACTCTGTGTCATGTTTGAAAACACTGTGCCATGTTTGTAAACACTGTGCAATGTTTGTAAACACTGTGCCATATTTGTAAACACTGTGCCATGTTTGAAACACTAAGCAATGTAAACCTCATGTTATATCTGTAAACACTGTGCTCTGTCTGTAAACACTATGGCATGTATTGGAGCTGTCTTCTATGTGCGAAACCGCCATGATTTGTGTATAGTTTGCTCTATGTGCAAGCATTGTGCCATGTTTGTAAACTATTCGCTCTGTCTGTAAACACTGTGCTTTGCTATAAACACTGTGCTCTGGCTGTTGTGGCATGTTTTGAAGCTTTCTGCTATGTGTGTAAACATCATAAACTGTATATAGTTTGCTCTATGTGCAAACATTTTACTATATCTGTAAACACTGTGCCATGTTTGTAAACAGTGGGCTATGTTTGTAAACAGTGGGCTATGTTTGTAAACAGTGGGCTATGTTTGTAAACAGTGGGCTATGTTTGTAAACAATGTACTATTATTTTAAGTGGTAAAATTAAAGATCTCCGGCCCATACACACCGTGACTGGCCATTCATTTATGGTTGCTGACTCTGTTTCAGGGGTGTCAGGTTGTATTGTCTTCGACGCTTTTACCATCTATGATGCGTGCTCTATATTCCACGCTGTGAACGCTTTTAACGACCCCAGAAGATCTAGAACTGGCCCAGCCCTAACCCTCTTCACAGCCTCAGTCTACATCCCCCGACAGACTGCAGCCTATGTCCCGTGCTTTTAGAACTGTTAACATTCTGTGGTCAGCTGTCCATGTCGGTTGTCAACACTGACAACTGAAGTAAATGTCGCCAGCCGCTCAGAACAATGAGTAAAACACAGCATGGCTTTATACATAACAGAACACAACATGACTTCCCTTTAACTTAGACTAGTGCGTGTGAAAGGTTAGAAAGCATGAATGAACGGCCAGTTACAGTGTGTATAGGCTGGAAAACGTTACTCGAACCTTGTAAGCTTTCTGATATGTTTGTAAACAGTGCTCCATGTATGCACATTGTAGCATATAAGAAATGTGCTATATTTGTAAGATCTGTACTATCTGTAAATATTATGTTATGTTTAAAAGAACTGAGCTGAGGGTCACTTTCAATGCAAATAATTATCTCATTAAGTGCAACAGGTGAGTTGAGTCAAGAATTGACATCACAGCTCTCAGGGCTACTTCTGCCATTGTAGTTTTATGAATGCCAAACAATACTTGTGAATTGATTTATTAGAGCTTACATGAGTTAAGAGAACTGCTAGGGCCCCAGAGTGATCTGGTCACGCTGTCCCGCCTCAAGCCACGCCCACGCAGTCCACCCATCTCCACCACAGTCGCAGCGATTGGTTCCTCTCCTGACAGGGACCGACTGCGTTCTCCTAGAGACTCGGAACTTATTGTTTCTTGACCTGAAAAAAAAAATATTGCCATCATGTTAATATCATTAGGAGCCACCACGGTGTAGTGGCTAGATACTCCCTGCAGATCCGAAAGTGGTGGGTTCAACAGGACCATCTTAACTTAGGCTTCCCAGGGCATAGGGGCTCTGTGCTAATCTGTTTTTGTAAAATGACTTGGTGATGAGAAGGAGAAAACTGGAGTAAATCATGATGGGAGGAGAGGCAGAGGGAGACTGAGAGAACACATGCTGGACAGTTTGACATCATGGCATGGACGAACATCTGGGTCAGAGTTGACTGAAAGTAACCGAGACAGAAGGTTGTGGAGAATGACTACCAACGCCACACAGCATAGACTTTAAGAAGAAAGAAAGTGACTTGCCATAAATCAAAAAATATGATTGAACAATCCCTACATCAGATCATAAAGTAATAATTATTGAACAGTCTCCAACAACATAACAAAAAAAAGCATGGTGTAAACACTAATAACTGTTCAATAAATACATGAATTCAATGGTCAGTGTTTGACAAGCAGCACTAAGCCAATAACTAAGTATGATACATGAGAAGCCAAACGTCTTGGCAATCTCAGATCATGTGAACAGCCTGTTTTCTGACTTTTACGGGTTATTGTTGATTTGGAACTTATAGTCTTTTGACCTGGAAACAAAAAGTCTTGCCATCAAGTTAATATCATTAGGAGCCGCCATGATGTAGCGGCTAGAGGCTCGCCTGCGGATCCGAAATTCGAGGATTCAAGCAGGACTGTCTTAACGCATGGGCCGCATGCTATTCTGTGTAGGTAAGGTGACTTGCCATACACACACACACAAAAAGTTCTGTGACATTTAAATATAGTCCACTCTAAAGATCATGGGCGATCAATTGGTTGGCCAGTAGACGACTTAGTCGTCGGTCGGGACAGTATTTGGTTCTGTCTCCTTTGATCGCGTCCACACTGCAAGAGTCCTGTATATCCAGGGCCGCCAGGTGGCGTGCAATGTTAAGCCATTCTACAAAAACCCCAAATAACCCCAGTCACACATACAACCAAAAGTTCTCCTTTCGGGGATTCTCGGGACGACAAAACGGATGTCCGTAGGGACTCTGCCATCATCTTTTCTCCAAATGTGTACAAGCCATCTGAACCTTCTCTGACACTAAAGTTTAGCCGATATTTCTGATTGTTTGTTTACTTCTGGACTTTGGTCCTGTTCTAAAACTTCAGTTTTGCATTTGTATTATTTTACAGATCTAGCTTATTTGTATGCAGACTGATGGTTCCTTGCCTATCAGGAAGATGCGCTCTGACTTTGAAAGAGACAGTCATAATTAGTCGCCTTGTTTAAGATGCTTGTTAGGGGGGCAAATATCAAGGATATTTGGGAAAAAGAAGTGTTGCCTGATGACTGGACTAAAGGAACAATAGTCCAAATCCCCCAAAAAAGAGACTTAACAGACTGCAATAATTGGAGGGGAATTACTCTACTCTCAGTACCAAGCAAAATATTTTGTAAAATCATCGTAATGCGGCTTGAAAAAGGAGTAGATAAATGCCTACGAGTGGAACAAGCAGGATTCAGAAAGGGCAGAGGAACAACTGAGCACATCTTCGCCATACGTAACATTTTAGAACAATGCAATGAAGGCAGAGAAGTATATATATAAATTGTGTGGACTTTGAGAAAGCTTTTGACAGCGTCCATAGAGACAGTCTATGGAAAATTTTACGACATTATGGAATTCCAGAAAAAATAGTCAACATAATTGCTCTCTTCTATAAAGACTTTTCCTGCAGTATAAAAAATTACAATACATCTTTCCCAGTAAAGACAGGTGTAAGACAGGGATGTGTTATGTCATCTCTCCTCTTCAACCTTGTGATTGATTGGATACTAAAGAGCACAGTAGACAGGATATTGAGAGGCATACGATGGACTCCATTCACCATGCTTGAGGACCTTGATTTTGCAGATGATATAGCACTCTATCACATAAACATGAACATATACAAGAAAAAAGTAACAGACTACACAGCACAGCAGAAATGGTTGGACTGAAAATAAATACAAAGAAAACTAAGATCATGACAAGCAGTCCAAACCAACAACCAGTGACCATAAATAACCAAACTCTTGAAAATGTAGAACATTTCACAAATCTTGGCAGTGTGGTGTCCCTGTCGGGAGGGACCGAAGAGGACATACAGTCACGTCTGAACAAAGCTAGAGCTGCTTTTGGAAGGATAAGGCAAATCTGGAAATTCAACAATTACTGCAGAGGAACGAAACTCCGACTCTACAAGAGCATCATTTTGCCAGTTCTTCTTTATGGAGCAGAATGCTGGAGAATGACCAAAAACGATGCACACAAGCTATCCAACTTCCACCACACATGTCTACGTAGAATTATCAAAATTTTCTGGCCAGATACAATCTCAAACACTAAACTACTTCAAGTCATAAATCAAGAAACTTTAGACAATATGATAACCAAGAGAAGATGGAAATGGCTTGGCCACGTTATGAGAATGAACCCTGATATACCTGCCAAAACAGCTCTCACATGTACACCAGAGGGAAAGAGAAAACAGGGGCGCCCAAAAACAACATGGAGAAGAACGATGGAAAGTGACCTGAGTGCGGCATCTTTGACATGGAAAACTGCACTGAAGATTGCACAGGACAGGAAAGAATGGAAAGTCCTCTCTGAAGCCATATGTGCCACTAGGCAGAACGAGAATTGATGATTAGGGGGGCAGTGAGTGCACTTTCACCCCTCCCCCCCCCCCCCTTCTCCACATGTGGTATCAGAACCCACACGGGAAGCTGTTCAGTCAAGGCTGACTTTCTTAATACTAACTCGACTGCATTACCTGTGAGTAAAGTGCGCCCAAACTCTTTCCAAGACATTTTAACCAACTGTCCTTAGGTACCTTAGGATGGCTGCCGCATTTCAAGGCTCAGCACGCACGAGAATACCCAGTTGGAAAAGATCCCGATTGGGATACTACAACATTAAGAATTAATGTAACAAATACATTCGTTACCTTCTCTCATTTTTCTTCGCTGCCGTTTTTCTTGCCGTTTCCTTCGTGACAAACGTCTCTCAAGAATTAAATTATTCAAGCTTTGTTTTCCATCTCTGTCGTCATCTTCGTCCTCATCAACATCTCCAGTCTCAAAACTTGACTGTTCTTCTATCTTCTCCTCTTTTCCTTGGGCATCAGTGGGTAAAGATCGTCGACGAGTGAACTTCTTCAGCAACATTTTTCGAGGAAGCTTATGGTCAACAATCCACACTAGTTCCGAATCAGTGCGATTCCCAGAAGGGTTGCATTCGCTGTCCACTCTTCTCATGATCCCACTAGGGCGCTGTTGACAAATCCCAAAAGTGAATACACCTGTTAATCAAAGATTATGTCAATCTACCACGGAAGTGACTATTTAATATGTTATTCTACTTACATAACATGAGATCAACCATGTGCAGAGAGCCTTTGCCGCTGCATAAACTAACATATGACATGCAGTTACCTTCATATTTGTCTCAGGGTATGCACGTGTTGTTGGCAATTAAAGAGCTGATAGACTGACCAGTTCTGCCTTAGTTGCAGATGGCCAGCCTATGGATTGTACCGACAGGGTTAATGCTCTTAGAGAGATACGGCGAGCTGAGGGTTTTGGGAGTTGTGGTGCCAACATCACTGTTAAGAATACAATAATTGGGGGTAAAGATCGACGCACTCAAGCAATATATATATATATATACATACTCTAGATGGGTGTATCGGACGCGTGATATCTTGCTTGTGGTCCAGAAGTTTTCCGGGGGGTTGTTATGGGAGCCAGGTTCTGAAAAGGACATGCTACTGATTGACTGACATGAAGAAATTTCTGCAGTACCACATGACCAGATGTTACGACATATGAAAGACGATCAATCTGCGATATTCTGATTTGTGTCATTATTTAAATTCATGAAAGGTAACAAAAGACAGAAAAAGAAACGAAAAAGAAGGAACACGACATAAAGAAGAGATGAAGACGGAGGGAAAGGAAACAAATTAAAAAAGAAAACAGTAGATAAAAGAGAATGAGGAGGGTTAAAGGGCTAAATAGAATACGTTCATATATATATATATATATATATATATGTATACATATATACACATATGTATAACATGCAGTGATCGGCACTCATAGAAAGAAGTAGAAAGAAATGAGCACACAATGGATAAAATAAAAATCAAAAGCTATAGTTAATATAGTCGCCGTGGCAAAGCGGCTAGACGCGCGCCGTAGATCAGAAGGTCATGGGTTCACTCCCTGGTGGAGCCGAACTTTTCTTAAAAAATGACCTTGGCTCCCAGGTCGACCCAGCCTTAAGTGGGTACCGCGTGCAGTCCCGGGTAGTAGAGGCCGCCGGCGCGATGCTGACCGCATCACTCATCGTGTGTCGTTGGTCAATAAAATATAGGTCTACCCTATACGCCTAAAGGCGCGGAAAAGGGTCCGTTACTATAGTTACCATGTTGTAAATTGAACCTCGCTGTCGTCATTTGGAGGTGACAGGTTTCATTCCCGGCATGGTAACTATAGTTTTCGAATATTTTCTGTTAATTAATGTGTCCTCCTATCTTTCTACTTCTGTTTTCGAGTGCCGATCAATACCAGTCTATCTATTTAATATATTACAATGTTTCCACTGCACTAGGAGTTCTTTGCCTGTTAATTTCAGGGCGAAAATAAAACAGAAAACAAGAAGAGTAGGAATAAGTTTAGGAAAAGAAACAATAATACAGGTAGCAGTAGGACGAGAGAGAGGAGGAGGATGAAAGAAGAAGAAGAAGAAGAAGAAGAAGAAGAAGAAGAAGAAGAAGAAGAAGAAGAAGAAGAAGAAGAAGAAGAAGAAGAAGAAGAAGAAGAAGAAGAAGAAGAAGAAGAAGAAGAAGAAGAAGAAGAAGAAGAAGAAGAAGAAGAAGAAGAAGAAGAAGAAGAAGAAGAAGAAGAACAACAACAACAACAACGAGAAGTATTGCTCGTTTAAACAAGGTTTTATTCATCTTCAGGCCCCGCCCCTATACTATTTACAAAGGGCCTCAGCGCTCCCCTTCCATTTCTGTGTGTGGGCACTTCTCTTTCAATGTTTTCTCTCTGTGTGTGGGCACCTCTCTTTCAATGTTTTCTCTCTGTGTGTGGGCACTTCTCTTTCAATGTTTTCTCTCTGTGTGTGGGCACCTCTCTTTCAATGTTTTCTCTGTGTGTGGGCACTTCTCTTTTAATGTTTTCTCTCTGTGTGTGGGCACTTTTCTTTCAATATTTTCTCTCTGTGTGTGGGCACTTCTCTTTCAATGTTTTCTCTCTGTGTGTGGGCACTTCTCTTTGAATGTTTTCTCTCTGTGTGTGGGCACTTCTCTTTGAATGTTTTCTCTCTGTGTGTGGGCACCTCTCTTTCAATGTTTTCTCTCTGTGTGTGGGCACTTCTCTTCCAATGTTTTCTCTCTGTGTGTGGGCACCTCTCTTTCAATGTTTTCTCTCTGTGTGTGGGCACTTCTCTTTCAATGTTTTCTCTCTGTGTGTGGGCACTTCTCTTTCAATGTTTTCTCTCTGTGTGTGGGCACTTCTCGTTCAATGTTTTCTCTCTGTGTGTGGGCACTTCTCTTCCAATGTTTTCTCTCTGTGTGTGGGCACCTCTCTTTCAATGTTTTCTCTCTGTGTGTGGGCACTTCTCTTTCAAAGTTTTCTCTCTGTGTGTGGGCACTTCTCTTTCAATGTTTTCTCTCTGTGTGTGGGCACTTCTCTTTCAATGTTTTCTCTCTGTGTTTGGGCACTTCTCTTCCAATGTTTTCCCTCTGTGTGAGGGCGCCTCTCTTCCAATGTTTCCTCTGTGTGTGTGGGAGCCTCTTGTCCAATGTTTCCTCTGTGTGTGTGGGCGCCTCTCTTTTAATGTTTCCTCTGTGTGTGTGTGTGGGCGCCTCTTGTCCAATGTTTCCTCTGTGTGTGTGGGCGCCTCTTGTCCAATATTTTCTCTGTGTGTGTGGGCGCCTCTTGTCCAATGTTTTCTCTGTGTGTGTGGGCGCCTCTTGTCCAATGTTTCCTCTGTGTGTGTGGGCGCCTCTTGTCCAATATTTTCTCTGTGTGTGTGGGCGCCTCTTGTCCAATGTTTTCTCTGTGTGTGTGGGCGCCTCTTGTCCAATGTTTCCTCTGTGTGTGTGGGCGCCTCTTGTCCAATATTTTCTCTGTGTGTGTGGGCGCCTCTTGTCCAATGTTTTCTGTGTGTGTGTGTGGGCGCCTCTTGTCCAATATTTTCTCTGTGTGTGTGGGCGCCTCTTGTCCAATGTTTCCTCTGCGTGTGTGTGGCGCGCCTCTTGTCCAATGTTTCCTCTGCGTGTGTGTGGCGCGCCTCTTGTCCAATGTTTCCTCTGTGTGTGTGGGCGCCTCTTATCCAATGTTTCCTCTGCGTGTGTGTGGCGCGCGCCTAGTTTCAACTAACAATTAATTGGGTTCGAGTTAAAAATGTATTTAATAACATATTGTTCTGTTTTGTTTCAAGCAATTCTGGCAATAAAAAGGTCAATGGACAATAACGAATATGATTAATTTAGCAAACGAGTGTCCGGGGAAATTAGATATTGCGTAATGTTTTGAAGTAATTGAAAAATGAAACAGTTCAAAGTACAGACATTGGGTTGAAACTACGTCGAAACAAATAAATAAACGAATGCGACTAATTCCACAGAGGGAGATGTCACACACCCACACACACACACACACACGCACGCACGCATACACACAACACACACACAACACACACACACACAACACACGCACGCACGCGCGCACAGACAGACAGACAGACCCAGACAGACCCAGACAGACACAGACACACACACAAACCCACGCACATACACACCCACGCACACACACACACAAAGTATTGTAACATCTGTGTGTCATCGGAAGGCATAGCTAGAATAAGAACAATCTGAGGCGAAAGGTTGGCAAATTTTTGCAGGTTACCTATGCTACAAGCATTCTGCACCATGTCAGTATACAAGAACACACATTTCAATTCGTCTGTCTTTGTGGTGTTGAATTTGAATTTGATTCAGTTTGTTTGTTTGTTTTGTTTGTTTTATTATCCAGAAGCCATGAGTTGTTAACCCTTAGGCTCGGTATTATGGATATCGCAACCTTTTGGCCTTGATTCCATTGTAAATACCGTAAATCTGGGAGAAAATGTGGCTTTCCTGCCTACCCCCGGGACTGAACCCGGACCACAAGTAGTTCGTCACCCGGTCTCCGCACGATCCGGTTTAGCCAACTACGTTAGAGAGCCGTGCATGATTCTGTTAGAGATAATACATTGAAAACAATACCTAATATTTATTAGCAAGATATCATTAGTGTGCAGGATATATAATATATATTGCAAAAAGCAAAAGACACTGCGCCGCGGCCAGACGAAGTCAGGTATGCTCATATGAAGGGCATAAGTGACGGAAAATTGAAAAAGGTGGCTCTTTACTTCAACCAGAGCATCAGAACTGCGCCAGTATCCTAGGACTAGGTGCACAACTATTTAATCCCTTTTCCAAAACCAGGCAAAGACCATTTCAGACTCAGTGGGTTCATAATCATCACTATACAAAACCAGGCAAAGACCATTCCAGACTCAGTGGGTTCATAATTATCACTCTACAAAATACATTTGGCACGGTGCTGGAGATGATTAATGCTGTTAAACTACAAATGTTTATAGAAAGGGAAGAGCCCTTGCCAAAAGGTTTGGTCACTTACTGGCCAGGGAAAGATACCTGCTTAAATGTAGCTATTTTTGATTGCGATGTTTATGAGGAATTCCAGAACAGACAGGAGACGGTAGCGGTGGATGCCTACAATAGAGTCAGACATGCCATTTTGATATCTGCGCTTATGGAGAAGCGAGTCAGTCCTTGGCTGGTGAAGTGGATAACCGCTCTGTTCCGCATTCACGTAAAGTCACCCTCCGCCTGGGTAAATGAACCTCAGCACCATGTATCTCAGGCTTCTGCAGTTTACCCATGCTCTTTAATATGTATACAAACAAGACTGCAGAAATTGAAGCACCAGGTGTTGGAAGAATATTGACATAAGCAGATGATGTGGTAGCATACAGGCAGGGAAGCGATGGGCAACAGACAGCAAAAGAGCTACATGCAACTGTAGACAAAGTGACTTACTTGTGTTCTTATATGGGTGGTTATATGGGTACCCAGAAAAAGCGGCTGTTTTGTGGTGTTCTCTGGACAATAGAATTGTAAGAGCTAGTGTCCGAAGCCTCGCAGTTAACGATAAAAACATTGCAAGAAAAAGCAAACTGAGATACCTGGGTATCATTTTCGACAGAAGCCTGTCCTTCGTGTATTATGTGGAGACAGTTGCGGTGAAATGCCACAAAAGGACTCAATGCTCTCAAGATTGTAGCAGCAAGAAGAATGCTGTTCACAATGCTGCAGGATGTGATCCTACTGGTCACAGATTATGGGCTTAGAGTACTTAAGGTATCAAGGAGTCAGCTCATGAAACTTGAATGTATTCATAATGAATCCACGAGAGTAATTCTGGGATGTACAAGAGACACCCCCCCCCCCCCCATAGCCTCCACGGCGTTCACGGGTCTCTCTTGCGAAGTCGTCCAGCCGTTTATCTCGCTCTCTAAAACGTCATAGGTTCGTTTCAAGACTGCACCGTTTAGCTCACCAGTGCACTTTTTTACGCAGATCCCTGGGAATTGTCAAAGACGTTACGGAGTACCTACTCTGTATGACGCTCTCGGCAGGTGGCTAGCCCTTCTGCGAAGAGAGAAAGAGCCATTTAGGATAGAACCCAGTGCAATGAGGTTGAACATCTTGATTTTAACCTTTAACCCCAATAATATGTAGACAATATATACTTGCACTGCCCACTGTTACAAATAGGTTTAAAGTACTGCAAACAGTCATATCTCATATCTCATAGTAGCCACAGACAGGAAGCACCTCCTGCATGGAACCCTAGATAGAGTTAAGTAAAGGTCACGGACTAGGAGAGGAAGGTCTTGGATGGCGCAAGTTGAAGACACAATTGTACATATGTGCAGGCTTGATAATATTAGACAAGGAGAGGGGTGAGTCAAAGTGTCTGTGTAACAGTCAGACAGGTGAAAGGTTCTAATCGCACTGGGTCATAGGCACCTAGCTGGTGCTGCAGAATGAGAAGATTAACAAATGATTCATGACAACTATCACCCAGGAGATGTCATCATCTACAGCGATGGCTCTGTGTTGAGAGGCAGAAGTAATTCATGGGGGTTCTCAAAAAAGGCGTATGACGCCGCTTAGTGCAACACAGCCTGACACATATATAGTTTGAGAATGGAGGTGGAGACGGTCACTGCAGTCTTCCGCTGACTTCAGAGCTAGTTCTGCACACATGTTGTAGTTGTGACGGACTCGTAGAGCATGCTGAGAAAGGCTCAACGCAAAGTTGTAAGCATCGTTTCAGAGGTCTCGTGTAGTTAGCGTCCTTTGGATATTTTCCCTAGGTTATATCGGTGTGTTGTCTAGTGAAAAAGCAGATAGACTAGCTGGATTTGCACCACTGGGTGGTATGCTGAGGGACGACAAGTCAGATGTTGCAAGGGTCACCTGGGAGCGAGTGAACAGTGCGGAAACACAAATAAATTACTACGGTCTGAGGAGAATAGTGCTGCAGGAGTGAAAAGGGAATCTGGTCGACACGCAACACTCAAGGGAAAGGCTAGACGGATGTACCATCAGACAGCTACTAATGCCATCGGAATTAGAAATCTTCGCTAGCTGCTGAAGATGAGGACGGCGCGCTTATTGAAATGCCCCGAGTGCTGTGATGTCGATTCTGTATTCAACATTCGACATTTAATATTATGGAGAATCGAACGCACTGAACGTATGGAAAAGGGACTAGAACAGGCAGGCAGGCAGACAGACAGACAGACAGACAGACAGACAGACAGACAGACAGACAGACAGACAGACAGACAGACAGACAGACAGACAGACAGACAGACAGACAGACAGACAGACAGACAGACAGACAGACGGACGGACGGACGGACAGACAGACAGACAGACAGACAGACAGACAGGCAGGCAGACAGGCAGACAGACAGACAGATAAATATACAGACAGACAGACAGACAGACAGACAGACAGACAGACAGACAGACAGACAGACAGACAGACAGACAGACAGACAGACAGACAGACAGACAGACAGACAGGTATATAGATTGACAGACAGACAGACAGACAGACAGACAGACAGACAGATAAGATTAGATTATATAGACAGACAGATAGATAGATAGATAGATAGATAGATAGATAGATAGATAGATAGATAGATAGATAGATAGATAGATAGATAGATAGATAGATAGATAGATAGATAGATAGATAGATAGATAGATAGATAGATAGATAGATAGATAGATAGATAGATAGATAGAGAGAGAGAGAGAGAGATAGAGATAGAGAGAGAGAGATAGATAGATAGATAGATAGATAGATAGATAGATAGATAGATAGATAGATAGATAGATAGATAGATAGATAGATAGATAGATAGATAGATAGATAGATAGATAGATAGATAGATAGATAGATAGATAGATAGATAGATAGATAGATAGATAGATAGATAGATAGATAGATAGATAGATAGATAGATAGATAGATAGATAGATAGATAGATAGATAGATAGATAGATAGATAGATAGATAGATAGATAGATAGATAGATAGATAGATAGATAGATAGATAGATAGATAGATAGATAGATAATGAGCTGAATGGCAAGTACATTTACCACTTTTTTAAATTTAAAAGTAATTTGCAATTTATTAACAAATACTTTTAAAGGCAACTTTTATGCAAGTCTGGTGAGCAGAAGAAAAAAATAATGGGGGTGTGAGATAAAGGCTAGCCCCTGACACATTTTCTGGTGGAAGAGGAGTGGGGGGGGGGGGGGTGGTGTGTGAGATAAAGGCTAGCCCCTGACACATTTTCTGGTGGAAGAGGAGTGGGGGGGGGGGGTGTGAGATAAAGGCTAGCCCCTGACACATTTTCTGGTGGAGAGGAGGAGTGGCAGGGGGGGGGGGGGGGTGAGATAAAGGCTAGCCCCCCTGACACATTTTCTGATGGAAGAGGAGTGGGGGGAGGGGTGAGATAAAGGCTAGCCCCTGACACATTTTCTGATGGAAGAGGAGTGGGGGGGGGGTGAGATAAAGGCTAGCCCCTGACACATTTTCTGGTGGAAGAGGAGTGGGGGGGGGGGTGAGATAAAGGCTAGCCCCTGACACATTTTCTGGTGGAAGAGGAGTGGGGGGAGGGGTGAGATAAAGGCTAGCCCCTGACACATTTTCTGGTGGAAGAGGAGTGGGGGGAGGGGTGAGATAAAGGCTAGCCCCTGACACATTTTCTGGTGGAAGAGGAGTGGGGGGGGGTGAGAGGATAAAGGCTAGCCCCTGACACATTTTCTGGTGGAAGAGGAGTGGGGGGAGGGGTGAGATAAAGGCTAGCCCCTGACACATTTTCTGATGGAAGAGGAGTGGGGGGAGGGGTGAGATAAAGGCTAGCCCCTGACACATTTTCTGGTGGAAGAGGAGTGGGGGGGGGGGGAGTGAGATAAAGGCTAGCCCCTGACAGATTTTCTGGTGGAAGAGGAGTGGGGGGGGGGGCGCTTAACCCACTACCGTAAAATACTGGGGCCTCAAGAGAGCCCCTGCTTCTACATTCCACCATTGGTGTGTTACAAGAGTCCAGTTTTAAGAAAAGATATACAACCAAACGAAAAGTATATCAGCCAGTTTCACCATATAACAAACACAAACAAAACGTGAACGTTGCGGCTATAAAGCCTACTTCAGTGCACACATAGAATAGACAATACTACACACATACAGAATATCACTTATCTTCGTATCTCGTGGCAGCAGGGTCGATGTCAAGACAATAGTTTAGTAGTTAAGTAGTTTTAAACTTCAGCCCATTGCAAATGCTAAGTGATTTACAAGTAAAATAAAGGACATCTTTTTACAACTTCATGTTTGAAGTTGAAACAACGGACCAACATCATGGCACACGGGTGCAACCCATAAGTGCTCCGGTCTTCCTCTAACTAAAGTCTGAGTCCGAAGAAGCTCGGCACAGTGCACAGGCTCAGTAGCACCGGCGAGGAGCCTGAATACTTTGGGTAGATTTTTTTTTACTGCCAACTTTGCATGGGCAACGCCGTTAGGCTTCTCTTTTCGATTTCCAACTGATAAGGGATTTTTTTTTTACGTGCGCAACAATGAACACAGGCGTCCGATCTCACTACCCAGAGACCGGGGTGGGGGGGGGGGGGGGGGGGGGTACTAGAAGTCCAAGTCCACGTGAAAAAATCCCAGCACTTACCAGGGGTTGAACTTGGAACCTCTAGCACTCGAGGCGGACACTATGCCTCGAGACCACGCAGCTGGCTCTAGATGGGTGGTATGGTCAATATCCGCCTGTCCGCCTCTACAGCACTTCAGCAGTTACCCATTTAAGACTGGGTCGACCTGGGAGCTAAATTCATTTTAAAAAAAAGTCTTACCCCGTCAGGGCCTGAACCCACGCCTTTTGGACCCACAGGGGAGCGTCTAACCGCTACACCACGGTGACCCTAGGGCCTCACAAGCACACAAAGTAAATACTTACAATCCTTTGTCTGGTGCCCGTTTCTATGCCAGGGTCGGCAACCACCGACAGCTTCTTCTTCAGTTCCTCCGTGGGGTCCGGCGTGCAGTGATACCATCCCCCAGTCCGACAGAGGACTTCCCTCCGTGCTATACACAACTTGCATCTCCATCGTCCTCGAACTGTCTGTTGTCAGAGTAGCAGTCTTAAGATTACAATCTATATACCGAAGTATAAAGCTATATGCCAAGGTAACAGTCCATATATTTTAGGTAAATATCTATCTTTTATCTGGGAGCCGACATGGTCTAGCGGCTAGACGCTCGCCTGCGGATCGGAAGGTCGTGGGTCCGGACCCTGATGGCGGCCGGAGCTTTTTTTTTAAATGTCGACTTAGTCTTAAATAGGTCCCCGGTAAATTTTTTAAATAATCTTTGTGTGTGGCTGCTTATAATCCATACGTCAAGCTAATAATCTTTATATCGAGCTTATAATCTTTATGTCGAAATAACAATCTAAATGTCGAGAAAATGATCTATATGTCGATGTAACATTGTATATGTCGAGGCCAAAATGCACACATTTAAGGGTAAACAGTCAATATGTGTAAAACTAACAATCTGTAGGTCGAAGTAACAATCTACACGTCAGGGTAACAGGCTATATGTTATTATAACAATCTATGTGTTCAGTTAATTATATTTCGAGGCAGTAATACATGTTGAGACAACAAAGTGTATGTGGCACCTCTCCAACCCACCCACCAACATAAACACACAAGCGCGCGCGCGCACACATACGCGTTTCTTGACAATGATTATTATTTGCAATTTTATACTGGGCTCCAGTCTACATAACCTTCTGTTTTTTTAAATCTTTTCTAATTAGCTGAGGGATTTTTTTTTTTTAACAATTGCAACGTTCACACAACTAGTAAATGTTCAAACTGATCATAGTGGGCTATTCTGTCACTCTTATTACATACTCTCACACTCTATCTCACGTACTCTCACTCTCTCTCATGTACTCCCATTCCCTCTCTCATGTATTCTCACACTCTCTTATGTCTTTTCACACTGTCTCATGTACTTTCACTCTCTCTCACATACCCGCACTTACTCTCACGTACTCTCTCACTTACTCTCAATCTCTGTCTCTATCAGGTACTCTTACTCTCTTTCTCTCGCACATTTTCACGCTTTCTCAGTACTCTCTCACTCTCTCTCTCTCTCGTACTCTCAGTATCTCTCTATCCTTATTTCGGACTCTCACCCCCCCCCCTCTCTCTCTCTCTCTCTCTCTTTCGGAGAAAACACGCCACGCATTGCGTATATGTATTCCATTAAGACTTTAGCCCCGAATACACACACACAGACATATATACACAGACACACACACATACACAATAGACACATTGTTTTCAGCTAAGCAGCCACCCCTGTATCGGTGTCGGATTGTGTTTGTAACAAAGAACTTTACTTTCAAAGCTTCCCAAATTGGGCAAGGAGGCCCGTCTTAAATCTGGCCCTTCCGAACACCCATCTTTCACACGGCTGTTATTTTATCAATCAATTAAAAAAACACAGTCAGTCCTTCAATTATTCAGTTAGGAAAGCAACCAGCCAATAAATCACTTAGCCAGTTAAACAGCCAGTCAGTCGGTGTATATCTACTAAATACATCTTTAAAAATAACAGTTTAAAACCCCGACAATCATTCTCGATCACCCTATATTATAATTAAGTAAATATCAATATTCCACCCATTCCATTTTTTATTTTAAAAAATCAAAAAAAACTCGACAACTTTCAACCTGCTGTTGTCAGCTGCTAACAATCTCCAGTTATATTTGTGGTCTGTTTTATTTGCACTACTTGCGGGGCTAAGATTGAGGTATGTGCACTAGCTCTCTGGCTTAATGCTCCTATTCTAATAGCTAGACCGCTCCACCCTGACTAGGCCCTAATGCGTTCCTGTTATCCTTACAATATCACTAACTTTGTTCTTCCTGGCATTCCACCTTGGCTTGGAAAAGGCACCACATCCCTGGCAAACTCGCTGTTGGCAGTCATGACAGACTCTGCCTACGCCGTCTGCGAACTTGGTTTTGAAGCAGAGTCTACACAAACGAAGGTCTACCAACTTGTTGTTCACATTTCGAACCTCAGATGTGTGCGTCAGCTCTTGCTGAAGACTGTCCAGTTCTTCTCGGAGTTTCCTGTACAGAAATCAGAGGCAAACTTTCAGTCCAACTTACTTGTCTGGAAGGAAGAAGTTGAGAAGATAGAGATGACCAACAGTATCTCCAAAACTAAAACCATGGTGATCTAAAGAGAGGAGAAGAAACATCAGGTCATGATGGGACAGTATGCATTGGAGCATGTAAACCAATCAAAGAGCTTGGAGTTATAATAAACCGAAACGAAGGCATCAAGACCGAACTAGCTACGCGAAAAACAGCTGCTGGGAGACTTTTCCAGGCCATAGACCGAGGGTTTCTCAGCAAAAAAGAAATTGGCAAGAGGACGAAAATGGCTGTTTACCGCTCTACCTATGTGCCAGTCCTGACCTATGGGTGTGAGTCATGGGCAATGAAAACAGCTCACAGAAGCCAGCTTCGGGCCTCAGAAATTGGATATCTGAGAAAATGGTAAAAGTGACAAGAAGGGACAAAGTCTGCAATGAGACAATACGTCAAGATCTTGATACCCAGGCCTTACAAACCCGAGTGGATCAATCACAGCTAAGATCGTTTGGACATGTATGCATAATGGGAGAAAATCGGCCACCATGGCAAGCATGGGAGGCTGAGAACCAGGGTACCAGACCTCCAGGACGACTTAGGGTGCGCTGGGAAGACAATATCCGACACCCCTGACAGACAGAGGAGTGGAATGGAACGAAGCCAGACAGAAAACTGCTGGCGATCTCTCTGGCAAACGTCTACACCTCAATAGGAATAAACTCACAGGGAGCAAGTACAGCAGGGATCTACCAGTCGTCAGTAGAAATTATCCTCGTCGACACGCGTTTCGGCCCACGATTCCTAGACGCATTCGGAGGTGGGCCCTCCTGAGTTCATGAAGCTCAGGGCTGGTTCCCTGCTGCACGGAATTACCGGATGGTGTTAGACTTTCGGCCAGAGACAAGACGACTTGGTGGTTTCGAAGGAGGTACTGTGAGATAAGTAGAAGAAGTAGAAGAAGAGCGACAAAGTAAGTTTCAGGTACAGTGGTTTAGATGCAAAACAGTCATAGCAAACATGGGATTTAAAGGTTCCCTTGTAGCGGAGTGGACATTAAGCGTGTTTGTGTGTGCGGCGTCCGTGGCTTAGGCGTTGCGAATCCTACTCGTAATTCCGACGCACCGCGATCGAAACCCACTGGGCTGCGTGGATTTTTATCATGGTATGTGGTGTCGCAGGTCGACCGAGCCTTGAATGGGTACCAGGATGTATGTCCTGGGAAAGTAAAGACGACAGGCGTAATGCTGACCACATTACGCACATAGTGCCGACTGGTCTGTAATAATATGGGTGCTCTTCCCATATGCCCGATGCGCCTAAGGCATGAAAAGGGATCTTTGTTTGCTTCGCTTTGTGTGTGTCACACTCAATACTGGATTTAGACCAGTCGTTCTCAACCTTTCTTACGCCGCGATCCTTAAATATAGTTCCAGGTGTTGTGATGACTCCCAACCGTGAAATTATTTTCGTTGCTACTTCATAACCTCGGTGAAAATATGTTTTCCGGTGGTCTTAGCCGACTCCTGTGAAATGGTCGTCTGACCTCACGGGGGTCGCCCCCCACAGGTGGAAAACCGCTGATTCAGACATAAGCTAAATAAACTACAGCCTGAAGCCTCGCAAATCTGCAGGTGCTTCAGCAACTTCATACATTTTCACAAGTGCAGTTTTCTTTTTATATTAAAATTGCAGGTTTTTTTTTTAATACAGCCCTTTAGAGGATAGCCAATTACTGCCCTTGTCATACCACATGTGCGGTGTAGTCAGGGGGGTCTTTGAGCCTGAGGAGTAACGGCCGCATGGCTAGTGCTGAGGATTTTATTTTTCCCCCGACAGAAAAAAAAATCCCCAGCCTTACCGAGGATTGGAACCCGAGTCTCCCGCGTGAGAGCCCAGCGTTCTAACCGTTCGGCCAGCCGCTCCTTGTTTTAGAGGATTAAATAATAAAATTTGTGGGATTTTGCAACAGCATACTTTATGCTTTCTAAAACTAAAAACTGGTAGCCGCCGCGATGTAGCGGCTAGACGATCGCCTGTGGATGGGAAGTTCGTTGGTTCGGGTCCTGACTGTAACAAACAATATTTTAGGGGACCTTGGCTCCCAGGTTGATCCAACCTTTAATGTGGCCGCGTTAGCGCAGTCGATAAGAGGCTCGCTTTCAAATCCAGCTGCGACTCGCTGCAGCCCACGGTCGGTGTTCGAAACCGGGCGGTTCCCGGGGTTCACCCAGCCTCTAGGAAATGGGTACCAGTGTTAACACTCCGGGGTAAATGGAGGAACGTCGCTATAGCTACAGAGTTACGTGCGGACGGCGACACAGGCGGACAGTTTCTTATCAGCTGTCCGTACTGGTGGCAGAGTACTTTTGGTTTATAACCGTGTGCAACGGCGCTGGTTCACATCTCCCGACTGGACCTTTATGGGTACCAGATGGAGTCTGGGATAGTAAAGGCGGCCCGCGTGATGCTGACAACATCACCCGCCAAGTGCTGATTGGTCTATAAAATACAGGTCTAGCCCTATACGCCCAATACACATGAAGGCGTGAAAAATGGTCCTTTACTTTCACAACTAAAAATAAAATGAGAATAGATTATTCACACCTTTAAAAGGCGTAGATATTTTACAGTTTTCTGAGATAAGCTGGTGCAATTTCAAACGGTACGGGCCTCGAGGCTTTAGATACCTTAGGGCCTCATCAAAGCTAAATTCGGTCGTGGTCACACAGATGAGTATTTGGGAAATATGTGTGCGGGAAATTATGAACCCCAGTGTCAGAGGATTGTATTTGTTATTAATTCCTTCTTCGTGTTCACTAACTGTAAACTTCGTGTTCAGCGGTTGTAAACTTCGTGTGTCACCAGCTGTAAACTTCGTGTTCACCGGCTGCAAACTTCGTTTTCACCGGCTGCACACTTCGTGTTCACCAGCTGTAAACTTCGTGTTCAACGGCTGCAAACTTCGTGTTCACCAGCTGCAATCATGTTCAACAGCTGTAAACTTCGTGTTCACCAGCTGTAAACTTAATGTCCACCGGCTGTAAACTTCGTGTTCACTGACTGTAAACTTTGTGTCCACCAGCTGTAAATCGTCTTCGCTAGCTGTAAACTTCGTGTTCACAGCTGTAAAATTTTGTGGGTACCAGCTGTAAACTTCGTGTTCACCCGCTGTAAACTTCGTGTTCACCAGCTGTAAACTTCGTGTTCACTAGCTGTAAACTTCGTGTTCACCAGCTGTAAACTTCGTGTTCACAACTGTAAACTGCGAACAATTTTGGTTGTCTGTCCACTTCTGGACTGTGGCTTTTTTACGGAACTTGAGTTTAGCGTGCGCATCCGTTTTACAGATCTGACTTATTTGTAAGCAGACAGTTGGTTCCTTATCTCAGGCACATGTAATCCAACTTCGAAGGAAACATCCTCAAATAGTCGACTGTTAAGATGTGCTCGTTTAGGGGGGGGGGGGGGGACTTCTTGTGAGTTCCGGCCTTATTGGAGCCACTGCCCCTTTTAGAAGCATATCATTCAAGGCGACTGCTTGGGTAACTGTTTGAATCCGATGTGTTGGACCGAAAGGTGCAGATATCGCAGGCAAGCTGTAAACCACAACACCACGTGTCATGCGTCCTTTTAAGGGCGAGCGCCGAAGAAGAAGACTTTTTGCTTCTTCTTCTTCTTCTTCTTCTTCTTCTTTTTCTTCTTCTTCTTCTTCTTCTTCTTCTTCTGAATTTTCACCAGTGTAAACTCTGATGGAAAATTCTGGTTCTTCGCCCACTACTGGACTTTGGTCTTGTTCCTGCGTGCATATGTGTTTTACATATCTTGCTTATTCATATGCCGGCTACTGGTTCCTCGTCTCTCAGGCAGATACACTCAGAAAAATCCCTAATTAGTTGACTTTTACGACACGCTTGTAGCGAGCAGTGTCTCCAGATTTGTTCTCTAGACAGTGAAAATATTGCTCTCTCGCAGCAGACTAACTATAAACCATTTTAAGTATGTAATTAAACCTTTTCATAGACACATAGAAACACAGGTAGACTCACTTGACCCTATCTGCTTCCTGTCGCTCAAACTCTTCTTGCCTTCGAATAACTTCATTGATAACGTTGATCTCATCCGGTGTCAAATGTGAAAGGTCAGGCGACGGCGGAGAAACTGGTATTTCCGGTGTGTTTAAATGGATTGCCTCCTTGCTTACGTTCCGTGGTCGAATTACCTGAGAAGGTAACATAGTTTGGTGTCAATGAATTGTATTTACATTAAGCTCGCCTAGTCCCCAAACAGTTTGTACATTGGCACATTTCTCGTCTTTACAGGCGTGTTTTATTGAGACATCACATCCCTGCCAAGACAGAGATGTGTTTTTATCAGAGATATGTCAGTTAAGCGATTTTTATTTTTTTATTTTCAGGAAAGGAATAATTGTTAAAATTTCAAAGACAGGTAACCTTACTGACTGTGAGAAATGGAGAGGAATTACTCTGTTATGAGTATAATGTCAAAGACTGTTTGTAAAATAATTCTATGTAGAATTAAAGAGGTAGTGGACAAAATCATGAGATAAAAATAAGCAGATTTTTTACCTTAAAAGTTTGTTTGTTTTAGTATCCAGAAGCCATGAGTTGTTAACCCCTAGGCTCGGTATAATGGATATCGCAACCTTTCGGCCTTGATTCCATTGTAAATACCGTAAATCTGGTAGAAATGTAGCTTTTCTGCCTGCCCCAGGGAGTGAACCCGGACCACAAGGAGTTCGTCACCCGGTCACCGCGCAATCCGGTTTAGCCAACTACGCTAGAGAGCGGGCTTTGACCTTAAAGAGGATGCTTAGATCACATATTATCTCCGAGACTTATTTTTAAAGAAATTTATTGAAAAACAACAACCCCTTTTTTGAATGTATTTGACATTAAGAAGGCTTTGATAGTTTACGTAGATCGTCGATGTGGGGAATTCGGAAAGGCGATGGTATATCCATTACAAATAATAAATATTATTAAGGCAATGTATAAAAGTTCAGAGTGTGCAGAGTGTGTGTTTTTCTTTTTGTTCGGTTTGATATCTTTTATTTGAGACACGAGAATCACAGCAAATTGAGGCTATGGATAAAGTTCCTTTCCATAGAACAAAGCCGGAGCAGTATTGTAGAGACTGTGACGACATTGAAGCATGATCCCTATCAACATTTAATCAGCTAATCGCAACTTCGTCTCAATAAAGGATGCATTTTTTTTTTTGGGGGGGGGGGGGGGGGTTAGTTTAAAGCCCCACCCGGCTGTAGTCGGGGGGCTTAATATAACCTAACGGTTGAGCGAGGTTTCAGAGACTTGTGCCAGGGTTACTTTTCTATGAATGGTGGCACTTTGTACCACCGTGTGTTTATAGCTCGTTGAGTTGTCCTGGTGTGGGTTAAGCCTCACTGATACACACACAATCCTGATCTGGGTATAGTTTATTGACCGCTAAAGGAACAGCAACACAATTATGTTTGAAACCTAGGATGTCGGATCGGAAGTACAGTGCTCTGTGTGAACAACCTTACAATGTAGCATTCGCAAATTCTACACCAGCTATCGGCCAAGGCTAAGGGTCCGATCTGCTCTAAAATTATACAGAACATTAGCCATGAACCTCTTTTAACTACAGTCAGAAGGTGAAAAATGCAATGGTATGGACATGTAATAAAACCTAAAGGCCTCTCAAAAACAATACTGCAGGGCTCAGTAGAGGGAAAGAGGAGAAGAAGCAGACCAAGAAAGACCTGGTTACAGAACCTGACTGACTGGACAGGCCTCAGGCATGCAACCATGAAGTTCATCGCAACTGACCGCCAAAGGTGGAGAGAGCTGATCAGACAGTCAACATAAATTGGTGACCCAACGACATGTAGTGGTGCGTGATCATGATGATGATGAAAAAAAAAAAGGCTAGTATCTTCCCCCGTGATCTCCTCTTCTTGAAGCCGATAGCACCATGTTTTTTTTTTTTTTTTTTGTTCATGTTTGGAATCCGCCCCTCTTCCCCTAACCTGTTGGTGTTAACAGAGAAAACATATGTTTGCTGAGGAAAGAAATCGTCACGTTCAACCAGCATTCCTTAAGAGGTAGCTTTAGGTTATAATTATGACAGGATTATGTGGAGCATATGGCCTAGCATTGCACACCGCCAAGAGCCCTGAAAAGGACTCCTGCAGTTTTGATGCGCTCAAAGGAGACAAAGTGAAAAGGCAGTGTTGACTACTTTTATGTGGTAGCTCCGACCTATCTAACTAAGACCTGTCTTCCAGTGGTCTAGCCCAGTGTGCCTTATATCTTGAATCTAACCGAGCTCGTGCACTGCACTGAGATTCTCGGGACTCGGACTTGCGTTATAAGTAGAACGGAGCACTTATGAGTTACTACCTTTTTATCATGATGTTGATCAGTTGTTTAAACCAGAACCTATCCTAACCCACACTTCATGCTAACTGCAGAAGGCGCTTTCAATTTTTGGTTAAGTACTCGCTTTTACGAGATGGTTATAGGGACTGATTTTATCTCCACCCCCTTCACCAGCAAATCGGACTTCAAATCCTACAAGAGAGAACCATTTAAAACTATTTAAATCGTGCATAAAGACGCACATTAGGAAAGGAATGTTGAAAGAAAGTTAAAGGTTGAATTAAGAATTGACATCGCAGCACTCGGGACACTCCCATAAGTGCTCCGTACCCATTTTCAGCAGCAAGCGAAGAGTTCAACTTCCGATGTCACCAGTAACTGTCTGATTGTACATCCGTCTATCCTTCTCCTTGAGTGCTGAGCGTCGGCGAGACAGCCTGGTAACTTCCACGGTGCGATTCTCCACAGACCGTAAAGATCTATTTGTACCTTTGCGTTGTTACTCACTCCCAAAGGGCCCTCACAACATCTAGCTTGTCATACATTAATTCACCACCACCAACTACAAAAACGTATAATCTCCTACCTTTTTCAACAAAAACGCCATTCTTCAAAGTACAGCCGGATCAGACACCAGGACGTCATAACTGTGTCCATCAAACGGTAATCCAGCCTCCACTAACTTCCCTGGCCTCCTACAAGGGTCGATCATCACCTGTGAATTCATTACTCAACCATTAATAACTTGTTTTGCAACTAGAAAATGTGAAAGAATTTGTTAAACAAAACAGAATTCGAAGGACATGTGAATGTCTGTTTGTAGCCTGTTTACTTTCTTGGGGCTGAGTGGTCTCCAGGCATAGTGTCCACCTTGAGTGCTGGGGGTGTCCACCTTGAGTGCTGGGGGTGTCCACCTTGAGTGCTGGGGGGTGTCCACCTTGAGTGCTGGGGGGTGTCCACCTTGAGTGCTGGGGGGTGTCCACCTTGAGTGCTGGGGGGTGTCCACCTTGAGTGCTGGGGGGTGTCCACCTTGAGTGCTGGGGGGTGTCCACCTTGAGTGCTGGGGGGGTGTCCACCTTGAGTTCTGGGGAGTGTCCAATTTGAGTGCTGGGGGGTGTCCACTCTGAGTGCTAGGGGGTGTCCACCTTGAGTGCTGGGGGGTGTCCACCTTGAGTGCTGGGGGGTGTCCACCTTGAGTGCTGGGGGGTGTCCACCTTGAGTTCTGGGGAGTGTCCAATTTGAGTGCTGGGGGGTGTCCACCTTGAGTGCTGGAGGTTGTCGTGAAATGATAAGCCATTACGCATCAGTCTGTAAGACTGGTAACCTAACTTACCTGTAAATCTTCACAAAATTCAAACTTGGACTCGTCCGGAAAGATATAGTCCCTTATATCTATATATATAGGTCTTTATTGGACAACATTATTATGTCTACATTTTCTGGTTGCTTTAACTAACCTCCACTTTTAAATGTATATATCTTTGATATATATTAGAGGAGTTATTGGAGGTTTCGTAGAAACCGATGCACTCCTTGCCCATGTATACTAGGGACTTCTTTTTTTACCAACGCCTGAAGCGTCTAAGTGACGCCATTCTCTTTGCCAGCTTCCTAGCGTCCAGACGTGTCAATCTATGCCTGTATAATTTCACTTTTCAAGGCGATCTGGAATGTCTCAGTTGTTGCATATGCTTGGGTAAGTTAATTATAGTTTACGAGTACCTAAAATGATGTCTGTAAAGTAGTCACTGCTGTAGAGAGATCAGTATCGGCTGTGGGATCACACTTAGTTCGACCGTTCTTGATCGCTAGAGAAGCGGATTCGAACGTAGACCTTCCCCTGTACAGACTAAATAGCTTATGCCCTCAATAAATCACCCATACTGGTAAACTTAATACCCTTACAAGTGTGTATTTTTAAACTAACTATAGAAATTTGTGCATACAAAAATGGGGACAGAATTAGGTCAGGACTTTGTCGACCAGTGTATGGGAGTGTGTTTGACCCAGATCAATGAATGCTAGGACGGGCTTTTTGGAGTTGTAGGAATAAATGGGACTCTGACAGTAAATATTGGTGTCTGCGTGCAGAGGGAGGGGAATGAGAGAGAGAGTCATATATGTGTTAGAA